TTCCCCGGAGTTGGAGCTTGCACTTGGTCGTGGCATAGGCGGCAACAGGTCCTCTTTCGATCTCTTTATGCGGCCGTAGCTGTAACTCTCTTGGTTCGGTCGTCGTGTCCAATCGCGTCGATCGGCTTCTGCTCTGTAGGTGGGTACACAAAACACGCGATCGGCGACTACTCCTTCAATTCTTGTCTGATGACCTTGGTTCAAGCATCAATATGGACCGGCTAGCTGTGCTCTCGACGCTGATGTGCTTGGTTGCTCTGAATCGGTGGACAAGTCGATCGGCGGATGCTCCGAGAGCTTGGAATGAGCGAAAATGTGTGGCGAATTTTCTCTGTTAGCTCTGTTGTTTTGCCTTTATAGTGAGGCTGCTGCGCACCTCTGGTTCAATACCTGGTTAGAGCCTGTATTTCTTCTCAATTCTCTTCATTCTTCCATTACAATACCTATTTCCATGTGGCAAACTCAATACAAACTTTCCTTCTCTCAAGTGTTGGATACGGCAACACTGTAGCTACTTGCTAATTATCAAGTTAATTGTTTGATTTGGGCAGCTGAGCAAAAAAATGATACTTTCTGCATGGTTCGCTCTAGAATCTGGATTCTGAGAATCCCATTTTCCTTAAAATCCTATCGATGTGGTGGTTCTTTTTCTTATCCGGTTTCCGGTAAATATCTAGACGCGGCCAATCATGCATACTATGAACATGGGTATCTCTTGACCTTGTAGAACCGAATACTTCTCATCTTTCCCATCGAGATGGATACTTGCTCGACGTATGATACCTCTACCTCCGTAGACATCTTGACTTACATTCTCAACTCTTCTCTTTTCTCGTTTGACAACTCTGGATCCAAACTCACTCTTTCCTGATAGAATCGTTTTAAAAACGTGTTGAAGGGTGTGAATCTTGAACGCAAATTTCTCTATTTAATCATATCCTTCCAGCTCTACTGTCTAGTAGACTGGCTATTCGTTTCGTTTTCTCTTTCTCTCACGTTCAGATTGTGAGCTCTTCAACTGAGCTCCGATATGTCATACATATACCAGGATCTTATATCGTCTTCAACCTCTGCTTCTCGCAGTTTCATTTGCAGATAGATCTAGTCGATCTATTTTCCTGAAGTGCATGGTTGGCCCTGGAGAGGCTTTCCCACTTTACTAACCTATGGACCTTCATCCGTCCATTCATTTGCTCCGTCCATCGCTCCTTGCATTCGTCTCTTCGACCTAACTTCCTAACCTTTGTAGTTGCATCATCTAGACGACCATTGTCCTCGTTCCTCGTACACCTGGCCATCTGATGATGATCGGATAACCATCTGATTTGAGTCACACATCCTTAGTCACGAACCGTGACTGCGGATCCCGAGTCGTCTGTCCGTCATACGAAAATACCTTTCTAACAAACACCAGCTGGTTTTGATTTTAAAAGGTTCAGGCTACTAAAAGTAGGGGGAGTTATCTACGGAAGCCGGAAGGAAAGGGGGCAGGTTCCCAGGGGGGACAAACTGAGGACCAACACGGGAGCCGAGCTTGTGGCACTTGGATGGTCGTCCTTGGGTCAATCAATCCGTACCGGTAGTAGAAAAGTAGCAGAGCGACCCGACCATGACAATACGCTCGGTGATACCCCATAAAGCATTACCTATTTCGAGAATGAAGCTTCTGCCAGAAATCGTATGAAGGCACTGCAGGATTGAATGGTTCGATTCGAAACGAACAGTCGCCGTAGCGACCCCCCTCGAGGCTCGTTTCGCTCCAACTGCACAGTCATTGTCCGGTGCACGCCAAACGTCCCGCGCCGTCGGCATGATTTGACCTCGGTCCCCGCTAGCTAGGCTACTCACCCAATCCTCAAATCCACCTGTCCGGCCTAATGCATCGCGCTCGAGTCGAGTCATGCAAGCTTGGCCCCCGGTTCCTACCGTAATGAACTAATCATCACGTTTCCAATTCTGTTTACAAGAGGGACACAAAAGGAGTGTCACAGACATCCGCTCTTCGCCAGTGTCCTCTCCATTGGATTCGTGGCTCACTTCATGAGGCTCTTCATGATCCTGGTTCGCTTGAGACGGAGTCCATGGGCTACTAGCAGCTCGAGAATTGTGGGAATGCAATTTTGTGGAGGCTACTGTGGCTATGGTGGTTCCTTCTAGGCCACTTATGTTGCGACCAAGCCCACTAATGCGACTGATGCCACTTCCAACACTGTTTGCATCCGACGACAAATGCAACAAATCCCGCTCTGTTGTTTTCCTCCAAAATTTGGGGACAAAATAGATGATGACTGAAAACGACGACAAGTTAGTGGATCCGGCAAGTCAAGTGAGAAACGATGCAAGGGAAAGCTCGCTCGTGTCTAGTATGTACCTGTTGCCGCGGTATCGAGACTGTATATCATGCTCCTCATGTGATCCAGTGTTGTCCCATTCAAGTGGCCAGACAGCAGGTATGTAATGCATCTCAGCACCACAAAGACAAAATTGGAATATATCAGTATTGCAAGCGTCCTTGATTCATTGAAGGCCTGCAGGGTGTTCCTGTTCTGAAAGGCCAAGACAGAAGCACATAGCAGCAGTACAGCATTCCAACCCACCGCCACATACTGCCAAACGTTTGAGTTGCCACTGCAATAGAAAGCAACACCAACCACATGCTCAACCAAATCCGTGTCTGTATTTGTTTCTGATAGGAGCGAATATTGCCCCTCTCTTTGTGGAGGATCCAATACACTCCAGACTAACAGGTAGACACCACAAAGAGCGCTGATAACTGCCACAGCACCAAACAATTGACTTCTTGGAATCTTTACTCGTCTCATTTTGGAGGCTGCATTTGACAGTGTATTGATTGCAGCAACTTTGATACACATTGGCACCAAGGCCAAAGTGTAGCCGAGGTGAATAAACCAAATCTGCGATGTGCAGCCAGCATCTGTCACAGGCAAGCCAGTAAGGACAGCCCCAACGGCAACAAGAAAAGACCCAGAAAGAATAAGCCATAAGAAACTGGTTTGGGCAAATCTGATGGAAGGCTTGGACCTGTTCTGGTGGACCTGGAATGATGCCCATAACACAAGCAAAGCTGTAAGCACGCCAATCCCAGTCAACGCATAGCCAAACTTTGAATGAGGTTCTTCCATTGTAACCCGTGGGTAAGATAAAGGAATGTTTGACTGCAAATAGTCCAGATTCGTAGATGCCCATTCACATACTGGGGGGGGGGGGGGGCACGAGGTGAGGACTCCGAGGTGAGACTCTGTTCCTGGTTCTGGGTTGGCACTTACCAGCTTTTCTTGGCGAGCTGCTTGACTGCCAAATTCGGAATATTTCGTCCATTTGTGTGTCTGGCAAAAATGGAAAACGGAATGAGAGTGAGAGAATGTACAAGCATCTCCCCAAGGTGCCTTCTTGTAACACCCACCTGTTATTTGAAAGCGTCGCAAAGTTTCATAGGCTGGACTTTGAAGAGCTAGTGGGATACTGGGCGCATGTATTGCGTCATAGAGACACCCGGACAAAATCTTTTGCAAAGGACGTGCAGCATTGTCACAAGCACCATCTGCTCCACCCACACGTTCAGTGAGATTAGGAGAACATTCATCAATGGGTTGCTCCCTGATGCAAGCTTGGGTGGCTGGTTTCAAAGTTATCCTTTGCATTTCAGCATCATGACCCAAAAATTGACTGTACTCTTGAGTCGGAGTCCACCACATCATCAAAAGGTTTGATTTAGTGGCATTGGCTGCCTCCCTGGACGGACAGACAGGCACGAGTGATATACCTCTGAGAGAGCCGAGGTTTGCAAATAAACAACAATTGCGTTTGCAGTCTACTCACCACATATCTACTAGCTGTTGGTATGCATAAGGCATGGGCTGTCCGTTTGGGTTATTGCAATCCAAGCCCATTTCTAAATGATAAATGCTTGCCTCCATTCTTGACCTGCAAAAAGAAACAAAATTTGAATGCAAAAGAAATAAAATTTGAATGATACCATGCTTCGCAAGCAGCCGCCAAAACACAAGCAACAATCAATACTCACGTCCATCCACAGGGGTAATTGGCAGCATGCCCTGTACAGTTGGTAGGATATGTATCACAGTCATTGAGTGTTGTGTTCCGAAAGTATCCCTGGTATTCCCCTGGAAAGAACATTCGAGAATGCTCTGTAGCATTGTGCGGGGGGCGCTGAGCAGTCTTGTCAGGTGTAGAACAGTTGTTGGGCGACTCTTCTTCGCAATACTGTTGCCAAGTCGTTGGCCTGAGGAAAGTCTCTGCCAGCTTTCTTCGATTCTTCTCGCCAACAAAGCCATGGTAGGTTCCAAGTGTTGGGTCCATTTCTGTGGTGAACTTGGTGACCATCCAGGACTCCTTTCCCAACATCCCCATGCTCTGTGGAGATTCAAGCTTTTTCTCATGGATAAGGCTCTGTGTGAGTGCTAAATCATCATTCCATACCTATTTATGAAAAGAATAGGCATGTTAGGATTCACTACTATATCCACGTAAAACTATTTCGGAACAGGCCATACCGTACCTCTCCCATGTAGTGACCGCACTGGACACCATTTTCAGTAGCAAATCGGCAATCACAGTTTGGCTGGTTGGCAGATTCTGCAGTATGATCTCTGACAACAGTAGCGTCCTGGTCAATGACATCATCTAGTTCATACAAGCTTCTACGTTCCATGGGAGCCCCGCTGTCTACAGTTGTCGGGACTCCCAGAATTTCACTGAGAATGATTTGTAGGATCCAAGTTTCAGCCACAAATGAATCCCAGTTTCCTGTGTTCAAGCGAATTTCAAGATAGTCCAACTGTGGATCTGGTAATTGACAATACTTCCCCAGTGCCCAATCGGGATCATTGCTGTTGCACACCCGTTTTTTGGCACCATATTTTTTGCCAGTAACAGTCTGATGGAGGCAACCACTAAAGTAGGGGTTTTCGACGCCAGTATCCGTTTCATTACTACTGTCTGCTTGGACTACCGATAGCCCAACCACTGCCGTAGAGATGAGCAAGAGTAAACATCTCCAATTCATTCTATTATTGCAGCAGAACAAGAAAGTTTGTTGTTGGTTGTTGTTGTGGTGCTTTATGGGAAGTGCCGCCTAATGCTTGGCGGGGTGTTTTTCTGCGGTGGGAAAGGTGTGGATCACATCTTGTTATTAAGGAGGTTTAAGGTATTACCGTCGACGGACAGACTTGCACCTCCGAAGGAGCATCGTTTTAGAGATGTTTCGAGAGCTCGGAGCTCGAACACACATTATGTGGAATTGGGAATTTCGAGGGGCAGTCACATGAAGATTTCTCTCTCTGAAACAGCCGGCCACACCCCCTAACGTATAGTCTAAACCAATCAGATCGGAAGAGTATGTCGAGCCTGAAAAGAACACATTCAAACGTGGTCGCATCCAAGCCAATCAACACGATGCCAAGTTACATGTATTGCCTCTCTGAATATGCAAGTGTAGTGTTTGTTCCGCGGATACATCGATGGATAGCTTGAGTAGAAAGGTTAGCTTATTGAGCAATGAGCAAGGAGGTCGGGAAGAAGAAGGAGACCGCTCGTTCCCCTGCCCGTGGCCACTGGTCCACCAGGAGCAAGGGAAAGGCCGAGTCAATCAATGATATAGTTGCATCATTGGATGATTTATCCAAGGAGAAGGTACAGAAGCAACATGCGAAACTACAGTTAGGTGGCAATAGATATGACCTAAAAAGGACAGGCAATGTGAGCATTGCATGGAATGGAAACCGAATGAATAAAGGGGCAGGGGCGAAGAAACATGTGGTTGATGCTGCTCAAGTTGAGAAACCAAAGAAGATTGCTCTTTCCCACGAAGATGACGCTGGCACAGCTCTTCCAGTGAAACCAACCCGTCAGTTTGTCGAAACAGATTTTTTGTCCTGTCTCATCCGTGACAACACCAAATGCCCCCATTGCAATCAGATTGGTACACTTGAATTGAGTTTTCAACAAGTTTGTGTTGCAAATATTCCCAAGCTGAAGTGTCAATCTGTTCGTTGCAAGAACAGGGCACCTGTGGAAGCTGAATGCGCAACAACCAACATGATTCGTAAAAAAGGTCGACGTAACATTTCTCTGATGCAGAGCAATGTCAGGTTTGTGCTTGCCTTCATGGCATCTGGTGATGGAGGGACAGAGGCGGCAAAGCTTCTCGGCTTCATGGATATGCCAAATGCAACATCAATGGCTCACTGGTCTTTCAAGGAGATAGAGAAAGACATATTCCCTACCATTGTGAAGATTACTGAGGATGCAATGAGAGAAACTTGTTCAACGAAGTAAGGTTGGGAATGGCTGAAGCCATTGACAATGACGAATTCGATTTTGACTTGTGGAAGAAGAATGTGATGTCCGAACCAAAGAAGAAGCATCCCCTGTGTTTTGGCGAGGCCTTCATCACTGTCTCAATGGATATGGGTTGGCAGAAGAGATCCAGCGGTAGGCGGTATGATTCTCTGAGTGGTCATGCATTCCTTGTCGGTTACAAGACTAGGAAACCGGTTGCTTGGTGTCTAAAGAGCAAATTCTGCTCTACTTGCAAGAAGTATGAGTCCAAAGATACCGAACCACCAGAACATCAGTGCCAGGTCAATCACATTGGAACATCCGGTTCAATGGAGTCTGCAGCTCTTATCGAGATGGCCATTGACCTGTACGATGACTATCAAGTTGGTCTAGCGAAGGTCATCACGGACGATGACTCTACAATGAAGGCAAATGCCAGGTGGTCTAATGAGGAATATATGGAGTACATGGGCTTCGATGAGTGTCCACTAGAACATCTCAAATTGGAAGAAGTAAAGAATAGGAAGACTGGTGCAATCAAAGAGAAGTTCACAGCGGTCAAGCGCAAGGAGGGTGTACTGCCGATTAGAGTTCCACAACCCACCTTCCTTGGTGATCCTGCTCATCGGAAGAAGAGTTTCCGGAATGCGTTGTACAAACTGAAAAATCAACCAGTGAAACAACGACATGGCATGAGCGAAGGGGACGTGCTCAGACTAACTATTTCTTATATAAACATGCTGCATCAGTTGAAGGATATCCCACGCGAAGAGTGGCCTGAACGTTCGAAAGCACTGTTGGAACACCTTTTCGATTGTCACGAGTATTGCGGTGACTTCTGCAAGAGAAAAGATCAGTCGGCCGAGGAGAGAGAGAAGTGTGGAAAACAGTACCGGTGCAAGGAAGAAGAAGCCGAACTGTATGCAGCACTCTCTGTTATAGTTGCCAAGTTTACAAAGATGTCGCGTCTCGAGGACGTATGTCATTCGGCTGATACCAATGTGAATGAGTCGTTGAATGCGACAATTAGCTGGTTTGCTCCGAAGAACAAGACTTACAGTGGTTCCATCTCTCTCCGAGGGAGGGTGATGCTTGCAATCGGCATACACCTTCTTGGCTTTGATGTGTTCTTCGAAAAGCTGTTTACTGAGCTAGGAATGGAAATCGAACCGTCTACAAGAACTTATTTGGAGAAACAGCGGAAGCAACGCGACAAAAAGCAAGTAAGATCTAAAGAGAAAGGCTTCAAGGTGCGAAGGAATTGCAGAACGTATGAGAAGATATTGGAGTACCACACTATCCTGAAGGAAGAAAGAAAGAATAATTGTTTCTACGAATCTGGTACAGCAATGGAGGATGCCGATGAGCCACCTAAGAAGAAAGCACGAAAGAGTAAAACAACAACAAACAACAATAAACAACCAACTGGCGAAAGACCGCATGGAATGAATGAGGATAACTGGTGTCGCTCTTGTGCACAATGGGGGCACAAAAGAAGTACAAGTAAACTTTGTCCCAACAACAAGAGAAAGAAAACAGTTGTTCCAGTACTCCCTTCGGTGCAGCAACTGGAAGCGATGTCACTAGTGGAGAGTGAATCCGCTACAATGGACGCTTTGGATTACATCACTTTGGACGAAGACAATGAGACATCCGTGGAAGAAGTGATTGATGGAGTTCTATGTTTAGATGAAGAAGATTGATACTTTAACTTTCACTTTACTTTCTTATTACTCTTAGTCGGTCACAGATGGTTCCAACCATCGACGTTAGGTTCAACAAACATGTCATTTACTGGTTCTAGTTCTTCTTCGCTTCCATCTTCTTTTCGTCGTCACCAGCGGCATCAGCCTTCTTAGTTCCATTCCCGGTGAGCTGCTTGCAGATACGCCAAGCATCATCCCAGCGATCATCTCCAGCATTAGAAGCTTTCTTCACCTCTGCAACAAAGCATTTGAATGCATCCATCTTGGTAACAGTGCCCTTTGGCATATTAGGCAGCGAAGGAGGGGAAGGGGGAGGAGTGAGCTGATAGAAATAATAGAAGTCACTCTTCTCTTTCTTCTCTTTCTTTGTCTTCTCAGGTGTTGTGGGAGGAACCTGGACCTCAATTCCGGTTGCCTCAACTGGTTTCTTGACACTCTCCTTGAAGCCACTCCTCTTGTCTTCAAGACACAAATGCGCCTTCTTCAAAGCCGCTCCTTGACTTGCTTCAGTTGTAATATTCTTCCTTTTGTCACCGGTACTAGCTCCATCCAAGGAACTATCGCGGAAACCCGTAAAACTTTCATTCGGATCTTTGTTTGGAAACTCAAGTCGAACGTAGTCAGTCAGACAACGAGGAAGCTTCTTGCGAGTTCGAAGGTTGAAGACATTCAAAGCAAACCAGGTGTAGATGACCCAACGTTTCTTGGCAGCAGGCAGATCCTTCCATTCCTCTGCGATGACTTCCATGTCATCATACTTCGACATGATGGTAAAGAAGATCCCCTCAAGATCGATGTATTCAAGAGGGAAGGACTGAGTACAGCAAACTGCAAGGCCGAATCGACGCTGGCAACCACATGGTACAGGAACTGTGACATCATCATCAGAATCAGGGTCGAGTAACTCCTGATAGACCTTCTTGAAGTCAGTTCTGTTCCAGGGAACTTGGCAAGGTTCCCCCTGCTTCAACTGAAGAATGCTTGCGGCTTCATTGTAGACCAAACCACGGTCAGTCTTCGGATCATACAAACAGCAAGCACAAGTGAACACAATCTCTCCCTTGGACTTAACAGTTTCAAGAATAGAAGGGACGAAGGATGAGAAGTAACCATCCACACTAGCGGTATCAACAGAATCTTCTTCCGGTGGCATAAACTCTTGACCTGCTTTACAGGGAGGTGTTTCGAACAGCTCCTCATTACTGTCAGGTGGACCAATGAAAGAGCATTGATTAATAACCATGCAGCGACGGAAAGCATGATTCTGCTCCTTCGCAAGATGGATCCAGTTGTAGTCATCAATGCGTAGGATGCTACCCACAGGAATTCCTTCCTTCCTTTCTTCTCCAACCTCAACCTGAAAAGAAAGGCTGCTGTTAGTCACAGCTTTGAAACAGGTGTAACTCCCATCGCAGAGAACCATTTTCGCAATCATAACAGGCCCCATTTTGGAGAAGGTACACTCTTCGGCACGATAGTCAAGAACAATGCATTGGAGCTTTGCGTCCCTATCAATTACAAAATGAGGTGCCTTTCCTGTACCATCGGATACCCCAATACGGATCATTGGATGGTCAACATTGTTGGTGATACAATCAGCGATGAAATCAACCGAGGCTCCGCCGCGATGAAACACGGTAAGAACATCATCCTTTCCATTGACCGACATGATTGTTGCTCGCTTTCTCAACACAAATGAGATTATGCCACAAAAAACAAACGGCAAATTGTTGCTTTCATATGCGAGCATAGTCAACCAGGTGGCCCGCCAAGCAAAAATTCGTTGGCGCCAATTATCAGATTCCGTTTGCTGGAAACATCCTTGGCAATTCCATGCCGTCTGACTAGCCGGTAAATACGGCGAATCCACCGAAATCGGCACCAAATTTTGAACCGACAACCTGCCAACTTAGAGATGCTCTAATTACTGCCAATGATGACCAATGACAAAAGTGACATGCCATCTTGGTAAATGAAATACGCCCTACACGACGGTATAGGGGATAACAGCTGCAGTGCGGTATATGCTTGGATTGAGGGGTCCACTTTGGCTTGGTGAAAAATCCCATTGGCTAATTTCGGGAACCCTGATATCAATGAAAACGAAGCCCCACCTGTTGCCGCTGCCAGGGATCACTGCCCACATGTCTAGAGAATGTCTGTGGCCGACGGCAACAGCAGAATATGGACCAATAAAAGTTTTCTTGCCAGTCCAATTACGTAGCTTCATCATTGTCGAAATTATGCCGATTGGCTAGATTTCACCACGTTGAATTGGGTTATTATCCCTCATCAGTCCTACTCGTGAATAAATAAACCTTAAACCTCCTTAATTCTTTTTCTCTGGTTCATCCTGTTCATCCTGTTCGGTCCCTTTTTCCTTACTGTAGGTCCTTCATCGAATTTGTATCGAATTTACTTTTTCAAGGGAAGCCGAAAACCAAAGCGCTTCCCCTCTGGATCTGTCACTACAAGAACAACAACACTAATAGCAACAAACACACCCAATCGGTCATACCTATACCATTACACTACCTAAAAAAAAAAAAAAAAGAGAGAGAATGGGAGAGCCAACTAGGTGCCGTGAGAAAGTAAGAATACAGGTAATTCTCTTCTCGGTGGTCACTGCAGGTATCTCGTGAAGTCTTCTTGATAATAGGAGGTTGCGTACGGGGAAGAGGTACGGTCGCTGGAGAATCGATCACGGATAGCGAGAGCTTGGATTCTGATTCGATTCGTTGATCGAGTCGATTCGCGTTCGGGTGAGTCAGGTGACAATGGGATTTCTCGGCGGTCAGGAGCTTAGTTCAGAAAGCAACAATGACACGTATGGGAGTTGTTTTCTGTACTGTGCGTGGTGAAGGCCGGAGACTTCTTCTTTGGTGCATTTTTAGGATCAGTTCCAACAAGGACGTCGGGGGAAACCCAGAGTGGCGGTGGTGAGAAAGTAAGAATAAGGTGTAATTCTCTTCGTGGTCACTGCAGGTATCTCGTAAGTCCTTCTTGATGATAGAGGATGTCGTTCGTATCCGTACGAGGAGGAAGAGGTTACGGAGAAGAGGTACGGTCGCGGGAGATCGATCGATTCACGGAGGTGAGTCTTGATTCGAGGATCGATTCGATAAGATCGATTCGATTCCGATTTGGGGAAGATTCGAATGAGTCAGTTGCTTAGGGGAAGGTTACGAGCCTGTTATTGTTGGTGTCGTCGTTCGAAAAAGGATCGGCCGACAATGGGATTTCTTGGGCCGTCGGCAGTGAGAAGAACAGAAAGTAACAAATGGGTATTGTTTCTCTTCTATTCTGGAACTGCAGAAGACCGGGACTTCTTCTTGTGTCATTTCTTCCAACTTGGCCGTTGGTGGTCGAGAATAGAAAACCCGCCCGATCTCGTAGGATTTCAATTGGGATGGCTTTCTAATCTGAACCAGAGAAGGCCGCTTTGATAGTCGCTTGATAGCAGAGGTGCAGGAGATAAGGAGGTATCGATCCTGTCAGTCTTTGATGGCTTGAATGAGAGATAAAGAGAGGAAAAAGGGTGTGTGTTTTCCGTGATGACGTTGAGTGGATTCCTATAGAAAAACAGTACTCTTCAACGAAATAAAAGATAAAAAGCTTCCTGAGGTCCTTCGTTCGTTTCAATGCTTCTAATGTGCTAAT